AGTTTAACATCCTAAAAACATACATCTTACTTATGTCTGTGGGCTATTTCTCTTTCAAATGCCCGATTCTCATAGAATAACTGCTATTTCAACAACTGTTGTCTGTAGTCAATTTACTACCTTAAGATCTATAACAACTGGCAAATAACAAATCTTTAAGGCTCTAAAACGCAAATAATAGTCTTTCCATGCGAAATTTCTTACAAAGGATGACTTTTTTTAGTAATAAACCGTCTGGAATATCAAGACAACTTTACCCACTAATACGAACACAATACAGAAAAATATTGCATTTTTCGGCTACAGAAGCCTGAAGTGAGTCAAATATAATATATTTTCACAAAACTGAACGATTATAATGCCTCTATAGGCGTGAACGCGATAACCCATACAGTGCGCTATAATATATTACGATAACGCTTATCCTTCCCCAGTATTTAGTTGAAAGACGATTAAATAATTGCGCGAGTTCATGTAGTGGTGATATAACACGAATTGATGATTAAAACAATTAGTAAAGCACAAGAGTTTAGGCATTTCAATAGTTGGGAATTCTGGTTACCCAGTATCTTGAGCAGACCTCCGTGCGCAAGTGATGGATTTTTATAGATGGTATGTCTATATCTGCATATATATATGGCACTAGGAGGCTCTGATCCCGCTTCACCGAGTGCTGGCAGAAGGAAACTATGTAGCAGGAGTCGAAAACCAACAAATGCAGTTACTGATGAACAAGTAGACCTAACCTTACCCAGTACATAAGTGGATAGCATGCAGTCACAACGAAAGTCAGTCAGCGAAGAGGGCTGCAGTGGATGATATAGTGCAGTCTATCACAAACGCGACACATCCAATATGAAAGGCGTGCTGTTGTTGGAGCACACTCGCTCTCTCAAATAGGTGACTTATCCTTCACAAAGTGAGAGAATTTACGTATTTAGACTCCAAGGAAGGGTTGGAGGTTCCATCACTCTAGTCAGACTGTTTTAAGACAAGCCAGCTCTAAAAGTAGTGTAATCTTTCACAGCTTGTAAAGAGTTGGCCAAAAGAGCAGATCACTCGATGCATATCCTTAAAGTCGTGTTGAACCCCAAAACTGGAGAGGTGATACTCAAAACAACATTTAAAGTCTTAGAGGATCAGATGTCTATGTCCATGCTGACTAATGCTTACCACACCGCATAAGAAGACACCCGTGACTCCGCCGTTAGATGAATAGCGCCGCAGCGGCGAGAAGACTCTCATTATTGAGGGCTTAGAGTGGCAAAAGTTCGAAGTTTGATGATTCTAAAGCCTCTGCAATTGGAGTGAGGGAGCACCAAAGTGAACTAACAGTTTGCTACACTTATGCCTGTAGTCTGTGGAACGTATAGACCGGAGTGGATCGAATGGGAGAACCAAATGTCATTGCCATAGTGGAAACATGGCTCATATATGATGCCTATGACGATGGAGTTAACCTGTCAAACTTCACAGTGTATAGGGCAGGCTGACTAGGCTTCAAAAGGTGTGTAATGAACTACCCCAGCCTAGCCTTGCGCGGCAATGGAGCTGTTGCGCAAGGAAGGGGAACAAGTGAACTACTAGGCAGCAGACTAAAATGCAAAGGACAAGACAGTGAATTCACTGGAGTGTATTACAGTTCCGATCGTAATGCAGACTAGGCTAATGAACTTCCAAATGTCGGAGTCCAATAGTCGGCGATTTCAGTGCATCAGTAATTTATTGGATGAGCCTTACAACACAATCCCCAAACATCTCCTCTGACTACAGACTTTTGAAATCTAGCATTTCACCAGCCTCAGTCCAACATATCATGAAGCCCACGCACTATGACTCACTGTACTCCTCTTCAATTCTGGACCTGGTTTCCTCCCATCGTGAGGATGTTGACCTCAAAAAAGCTCTTCCTCTCTTGACAAGAAGTAACCTCGCTGTGCTCACTTTCAAGTTTGCAGCAGCAGTATCATGGGCAAAACCTCAGCTCGACCAATCGTTTGGAAAGCTGATACGTAGTCTTGGCAACCAACTCACTTCAAAGTAATACATTTTTATTCCTGTTTATGCAGGCATATACCATTTGTACAGGCATGGATAAGTTGTTATATAAATTGCAAATATTTCGATGTATGGTTAATTTACAGATTGTTTTTTCTTGCTGAAATATTGTTCATTTTATTCACATTTTGTGTTTGGGTTGGTATTTACCTCACTGTTTTCACGTACATATATTTGTATAGCTTACACAAATTAGAGTTATGGGCCCGACTAACAACTGTGAACGACTGGACTGCCACTTTCCGGTGGATGATGGGATGCAGTGTGACAACTGCAGCCTATAGTTCTGCAAAGTTTGCACTGGTTTGTCACCAGTAGCCTATAATAGATGTTGCAAGCCATCATCTCTGTGGCTGTGCAAATTTTGCAGTAACCCGTTGGATGTCCTCATCCAAGAGGCAGTAGGACTCCTGATGTCCAAGAAATTGTCGAAAAATAAAATCAAAAAGCTTGCGTCAGAAATCTTAGTCAAGAATGGCGGTTCAGAACTTAGTTTTAAAACTGAGACTGTATCACCTCCTGAAGCTTTAGAGACAAAAGAGACACAGAGTGCCCAAATATCTGTTGCGACAAAGCGAAAAAAACAAAGGAAATCCAAAGGGCAAGTAGTGCCAGCATGGTAACACCAGCCTGTGAAATGGTCACGCCAAAGCACAGCGTGTCTAGTGCACGAATGGCTCCTAATCGAGGCGAAAACAGAGTGGAAGAAACCGACTCCACTTGGTTGGTGCCAACAGGTAAGAAGCAAAACAAACGTAGGAAGGAAACGGTAACCGAGTTTACCAATAAGGTCTCGACGCCTGCTAATGCCAGCCAAACTCCGAAACCCACGGACTCTAGTTACAGTGTCATCATCTGGAATTTAGAGGAATCTAAGAGCACAGATCCAGCTGCCCGACATGCAGATGATCTGAGGGCGGTTAGCTCTATTATCCAGGAGTGCGTCACTGCACCCTTTGTACCTTGGTCTACGCCACGAAAACTATCTCATAAACCACTTTGGATTAGTAATGAAATGAGGAGGTTATTAAGAAAACGAAAGAACTTATGGGACCGGTTTACTGTGACTGAGAGGGATGAGTTTCGGGTGGAATACCGCAAAATTAGAAACCTTTGTAAGTATGAGATTGACAAAAGTCGTATAGAGTACGAGAGACAGTACTGGATTGTATGCGTTGTCCAAAAAGATTGTACTCGTATATCAAACGCAGGACTTCTCCATCATATCTAAACGCAGGACTAAAACTAGCAGTGGTATACCGTCTCTCATTAGCTATACTGGAGAGGCTGCCGAGTCAGCCGAAACAAAAGCTGAGAAGCTCTCCGAATACTTTTGTTATGTTTTCTCGCGTAATCGTACTACTCAGGGGTGTAGCGAGGTCACTGATGTGGCCCCTAAAATGCCTCAAATTGTAGTAGATGATGCAGTGGTTCTGAAACTACTGTCTAAGTTGAAGCCAGGTAAATCATCTGGAGCAGACGGACTTCACCCTAGATTGCTAATCTCCTTGGTGGATATAATAAAAATTCCACTTACGGAGATTTTCCAGATGTCTCTGACCCAGGCTAGGCTACCCAGGGACTGGAAAGATGCTTTTATAAGCCCCATCTCTAAAAAGGGGAACAGGCTGTTAGTATCTTACTACCGGCCTGTAAGTTTGACCTGCATTATAACAAAGGTGTTAGAAGAACTCATAAGGGATCAGCTCTTAGCTCATACGGAAAAACGTGGCTTACTGGCAGTGGAACAGCATGGATTCCGATCAGGACGATCCTGCTTGAAAAACTTACTGTTAGCTAGGGAAGACTGGGTCGAGGCCATGGATGAAAACCATCTCCTGGACGTTGTATTTATCGATCTTAGTAAAGCATTCGATAAGGTATCCCACTTAGGTCTCCTTAGTAAACTTAAACATTTTTGATTTGACCAACACTTATGTGAGTGGTTTAGTGGCTACCTGATGGATAGGAGGCAGAAGGTAAGGGTTAACGGTGTACTGTCAGGGTGGAAAGCAGTACTAAGTGGAGTACCTCAGGGAACTGTACTTGGCCCCCTGCTATTCCTATTATACGTAAATGAAGTGCTGAAAATTCTTACCTCATCTTCCTTACTATTTGCGGACGATATTAAGATATGGGAAACCGTAAAAAGTAACGATGATAGGTTGGTACTACAAAACAATCTAGATAAACTAGCTGAATGTTTTAACCTTTGGAGTCTAGAAATTAATTCCAAGAAAAGCGCGGTAATGCACCTAGGTCAGAAGTCTTACACTTCGTACTACCTGGGGGACACGGAACTGCCAGATGTTAGTGAACAAAAGGACTTAGGAATTATTGTTACCCATGACTTAAAAACAACGGCAAACTGTAATCGAGCCGCAGCTAAGGCTTTTCGAATGCTATGGGCATTTCGAAGGGCTTTCAAACGATTAGACGAGGGCATGTTCCAAGGACTCTATGCAACATATGTCAGGCCTCATCTAGAGTACTGCATACAAGCGGTGGGTCCATGTTTCAAAAAGGAGGCACATACCCTGGAAAGAGTACAGAGGGTGGGAACCAAATGAGTTAGTGGTATCTCACACCTTCCTTATGATAAGAGGATGCAGCATTTAAATCTCTTCCCATTATCATTCCGAAGGAGGAGAGGCGATTTAATTTTGGCTACCGTATATTAAAGGGTGATTTAGGGATTGACCTTCCAAACCTTTTATCTCCTCCTAGGATAAGTTTACGGGGTCACCAGAAGAAGGTGCTCAAACGGCGTTTAGATTCTCTCACAGAGTGGTCAACGACTGGAACTGCTTACCTGATTCAGCTCCATCGAAGGACGCTTTCAAAGAGAAACTGGATCTCTGCAGAGATATATATCGCGAGGATTAACATAGGAAAAAGAGTCTTCTATCCTTATAATCTGAATCTGAATCTGGAATATCATTGAATGACTTGGCGGCTGATATAAATATTGAGGAACGTGATCGGAGTTTATGTTGCTATCAGCGTCCAGACGTTTAGCTCTCCTTAAAGTTGATAGATGCCGATATTTCGGAAAGTGTATTGCATACTACTCCCAAACTTCAAATGATTCCGCAGGAGAAAAGACTCAACAGTCCAACTGGACTGGTAAAAATGCTTGGAAAATAGGTTTTATTACTTTGTCGTGTTCTGGACTATTCAGCTTCGGATTTGCTGTTGCAACATGGGGTAATTCATGATAAGCGTTTATCTTCCGTTGCTAGGTCCTCCTCAAAAGGATGAAAATGGCGTTGAAGTAAGTAAATAACCTTTTAATATTTACTGATTAGATTGAAGACAAGTTTAGCCGAAGTAAGCCATCCACTTGTATTTATTAGACCTCAGTGCCCTTCATTTTCGGCTACATTTGCAGGACGTGGAGCTCTTTATTGGAATTTAATCAGGTTGGTACTTTATTTAATGGGCTAATTTTCTTCAGAGTATCAAAGATCCCGTCAGCGAAAAGCTTCTTCCGGACCCAGTGCAACCACCATATTACCAACCTCCTTATACGCTTGTCTTAGAAATGACTGATGTTCTTGTGCACCCAGATTGGAAGGTAAAATTTCAGCGGCTTTTATTACAGAGTTTGTAGTTTCGTACGGGTTGGCGTTTTAAGAAAAGACCGGCTTTGGAATTGTTTTTGCAGCAACTTTCTCCCCACTATGAAGTTGTAGTCTTTACCAATGAATCAGCTATGGTAGGTACTTTTGATGTTTCAGTATGCATTTGTTCGTTAAGTTAGATTTGTAGATTTTTATAGGAAGCAAGGCCACATCGTGAATGTTCATTACCAATTATTATAGTAATTGATACTGATACGTACTTGAAGTGCATTCATTCAGTCTTATACGATGGTTCTGTTTCCTTATAACAAATAAGTTTACGTTATTCTGTCATGAAAATTGGTTGCTACATAGTATATTTAAGCCGAATGATGAAATGCTTCAAGCAACTACCCTAAAAAACTATCTAATAAGATGCGGGTACACTAGTCTTAGACTTATAAAGTTATCTGACCCCCTAAATACTGGCTAGCTAAATGGGCATAGAATTTGTGTTTGGGCGAGTCTGTAACGAGTTTACATGAGTTTGATCGGTAGTCTGCACATTGTCTCGTAGTCCATGGGGATTGCCTCAGGAAGCATTTACTTTACAATACCAGTGATTCTCTATTTTGTCTTATTTCATGGAACTGAGTATCTTGAGCCTAGACTGGTGAGCGAATTAGGACCTAGTTGATTAACTCATTTCACCTTGCTCTATGCCACCAAAAGACTGAAGACTAGTGGAGATAGATATAACTTACAAAGATCGAATCGAGACTAAGCAAATGTATTTTGCGACAATACATCGTTCACCCCAGTTATGCTATGTGAACTTTTTTACGTACTACTTAATTATATATATATATATATATATTCACTACCCCATTAGTTATTGTCTTAGTTCAATCGATACTGAGTTAAGTTTTTTGGTGTCACTTGACACCAAGAAATCTTACCTACTGGAATAAGTAATTTCATTTTACAACACTGCCTAATGTAATAGGTATGATATTTACCTTCCATTTCCAAGTTTCCAGGAAAAAATAGTGAGTCTCTATGACCAAATTCATCCTCTGTCTCTTTAGATGTTCTGAACCAACTGAGTGCCTAAATGTGATGCTACAGTTACCACATTTTGTAAGAGTTTGTCTCCACTGTTCTTTACAGTGAGTTTTCAAAGCATGTATCTCTTTATGGTGTACCTTCAGGGTATCGTAAGGATTTAGTGTAGTCTGTCTAATGTCGAACCTTGCAGCATTCTTTTAGCGTTTAAAATCTGTTGAGTGAAAACAACCACCTTTGAATGTTCATTCTATCAGGATTCCTTATATAATACAAAGACAAATCTTAATTTTAGACTTTTGACGTGTTGGCTGAAGTTGGTCATTGAACTATCTAACTAAACATTCTTCAATTTGTCCGAAATATAGTCATTAAATAATTGAATGCGGATATCGTAACTACACCACTAGACCAAGTAGTAACCGGGACTCTGTTTAATTTACTTCCAACCATAATATGGGACTAAACAAATAGCTCCAATGTATATTATTATATTTATTGTTCCCGTGGGTTCCGCGTGGAATATAGGGCCTCAACAGCACATCTTCACGTTGTCCTGTTTTCTGCGGTCCTCCGTAGGTAGCCCAACGATTGCCACTTAAGCTTTCATCTCATGACACGAACTCCATGTCATCCCCAGACTCCCAAGTCATCGTCTCCCGTTCAGCTTCCACTCGTGGGCCTGGCGCGTGTTACCTTATGGTGTTCTCATCGTGTGCCTGATCCAGCTCCATATTCTTCGGCGTATCCCTTGAGCAATAGGTTCTTCATTGGTTCATTCCCAGAGTTTCTTGTTGCTATCTCATTCTGGCCATCTGATCTTCACTATGGAGCGAAGGCAGCTGTTGATAAAAGTCTGCAGCTGGCTGTTGGAAATGGTTTTTGTAACATGCATGCCAAGTTTTTGACCCATCTAGAAGAAATGAATTAAGATTGGTGTTGAAAATCCGAATTTTATGGTTTTGTTCGGGGCGCAGAAGATTTCTAAACTGCCTTCAGTGTGTTGAAGGTCTGTCTTGCTTTTCCGATTCTAGTTTTCACATCCTCATCCGTTCCATGTGCATGTATTTGAAACGATCCTGCTTAGACAAGTGAAGCAAGTAAACTTCAAATTTACTTCGTTGATAATCATTGGTGCTTCCTGTTGGTGTGATAAGTTAAATTAAAGCTATATTTATTAAGTGATTGGTTAATGGGTCAGCAAAAGCATTCACAGAAAACTGAATCAGTTCAAGTTACCACAATTAGGAAAGGAGATGTTGTTAAGTTGAAATCGGCTTTATTGAATTAAACACGTCACTTCATTGAACTAGGTCCTCAAACTCCGGTCTTCGTCCACCTACATCATTCTGGAATGATCAGTATCATAAGTCGTTCAAAAACTAATGTAGATCGCATCATGGTGCATGAAACAAATCTGTCGTAGGTTATTCAGTTCCAATAAAGAGAAAAACAGTTACAGTGACTATTTCGCAGCGGTGAATTAAGACAGCCAACTGTTGCTGAGTGTACATGCCTGGCGTTTCAGAAACTGCTTGTCAGCCCTCCAGTCGGAATATTCCACTCGAAATGATTCCGCCATGTTGGACATTATGCAGATTTTTCAGAAGTGGCGACAACCGGTGTTGTCTGATAGAGACAGCCGATGTCAGTCAGCCTTCTTATTTAATCTTATTATATGTGCATGAATGTATGTGATTGTGATCGACTCAGGTGTAGTTTATCAGGGATTATTAACCTATTCTCAAAGAAAGACTTCCTTTACCTAGAGAACACACGATATAGAATTTCAAGGTGAAGACACTGATAAAATGAAGTCTAATGAACAACTGAAATCTGAGCATGCTTAGCACACGGTTAGTCACAGTGAAATCACAGATTATGCCGCACGATTGGTTTGCACAGAATAGACAATAAAGTGAAGTCAAATGGAATGAAATGCAGATGACTTCATTCTCTGGGAAGTCTTACTTCACGTCTGTCAGGCATAGATGACTCTGAAGCTAGAAGATACGAGAGCAATGTTAATTGGAGTAGAGTGAGTGATGGTGAGAGGGAGTTAAGGGTGACCAGATCAACACACGACATCAATCCATCAAGTCGTCGACTGTTTGTCTGAACGACAAGAGTTTGGTATGCGTTGACTAGTTGAGATCTCGAGAATGCTGAGAATTAGTTGGTTGGAGACCCGATTTTGGTGGGGTGACTTGAACTTCCACCACTCAACTCACTCATCATCATGTCTCTGTGACATTCTGAATACCTGGTGTAATCTTCATTGAATTGTTCTCCTCATCACATCTCCGTCTGTCCATTTAAGTAGAATTTCACCTCTGCTCTCTTCTTTCATGTGCACTTCTCTCAATTGTGGCTAGTCAAACTGATCCACATGTGCTCAAAGTTCTGTGTAGCTTTGTCGGTCACTTTGTGCTCGAACGATTCCACTGAACAGAAGAATGTTAATCATGTTCAAATGGTGAGAATAGTGATTGGAATTCGATGAACCGACTAGCCAATCAGTCCATAACTTCACAAAGAAGTAGATTCTTTCAAGTTATCACGCTTCGGACAAGCACATAGAGCTGTGAAGCAAGGAGAAGATAATTTTTCAGAAATTTATGTGTTTATCCAAGCAGACAATTCTATTATTACTATGGAATTTCGGTATTTTAGATGGCAATGAGAAGAAACGCTTTTGCACTGATGTGATTAGTTTTGAATGGTGTCATGAAGAATCTCTAACCACTCATCCCTGTAATCTGGATGTTTTCATTTGGGCAGTCTTTGTGTCTGCATTGTCTGTTTGTTGGTTCTAGCCGCTTTTAAGCAGTTTACAACTCAGTTCTTAAGTTAACATTTTCATGGATGAAGTCGGTGGTTACACATGCATATCATTTATTTTAAGCATCTGTCAATGAGGTTTTACGAGATGATTGATCGACTTTCTCTATATATCTTTCACTATACCCCTAAGGTCGTTGTCGCTAATCATTTCCAGCTTAACACGTTCAGTTTAACGAATTTTCAAATGAATAAGAATCCTATTTTAAAATATTTTGCTTCCAACATCCTTGCCTCATAATGGTATGTGGGACAAAATAAATTGCTTTTCTGTGGAGTATGGTTAAATGCTGTATTAGAGATTCAACTCGTTTTGCTCATATTATATGAAATATGACCTGAAGTTGAGTGTCTTCATATAGTTAAATGGACTCATCTTTTGCTGTCTAGTTTTTCTATTAGTCAGAAACATTGCTTTCTGAAAGAACATAACGTTTCTTACATCTCATCATGTGTATATTTTTTCACATTGGTTCAACCCGAACTTATGTATGCCTGTGTGAATTCCTACTTTAGAAAGTCAGTGTGTTTAATGATGTGGGAACCTCTGCTGTATGTAATGCCTATTGTGTACGGAAGCCTCCTGCTGTCCAGCATATTTGATTTATCTCAAGTGTGTATTCGTGGAAGCTAGGTACTTCCTTGAGCTATCTGATGTAAAACACATATTCTCTCTTAGCACTTAACGTTTGCGAAAACCTAGCTTTTACGGGAGGCTGGATGGAAATTTCTTACCTAAGATCGTGAGGACGCCGCCAGGTGAAGAAATTTCGAGAGGAGAACCAGAGTCCGTCTTCTGTCTCTCATGTAAGGTTACTCTCATGTTTTCCGCCATTTGTTTTGTGTGTATTGCTATCAAGTCGAGTTACTCATTCGCTTATCAGTGATGTCTGTTACAAGTTTTGTTTTAATAACATATTTCGTAGACTGGAGGTCCAGTTTTGGCTCAGATGGATCCGCAAGGACAGTTCATTCACTACCGACTGTTTCGTGAAGCAACTCGTTATAAGGAGGGAAAACACATCAAGGACCTTTCATGTCTTAACAGAGATTTGTCTCGCGTTGTTCTCGTAGACTGGGATCTTACTGCTGCCCAATTACAGCCACGCAACTCACTGATCATAAAACGCTGGGATGGTGAGGAGTCAGATAGGGAACTGATAGACCTGGCAGCCTTTTTAAGAAGTAAGTGTAGTTTGTATGTTCAGCGTTCAAATGTTCAAATATCATAACAATTGTTGTTTGCATGTATTAGTATTCATAAATTGGGTAGGTGACACCTTGTCATTTTGTTTTTATCCACTCTTTATTTTTCATCACATTCGAAGATGATTTCTCGAATTTTAACTTTTTGTACCAAATAGGGGTAGTTATAAAATGTCACATTCATAGGCCAGTTTTATTATAACTCAGAACAAGCAACAGGGGTTAATAAAGCAGGATTTAGTGAATCCATCAAATTTCGGTGGAACTCTTCAGCTGCATACTCTACATACAGGCATATATATACTACAATTACATTGGGTAATACAAGACTGATAAGAAATAAACTACATTCGATCAATCGTGCAAAACAACAGGAGCGAGTGTTTTTCACTTCATGTTCAAAAAGATAAGGGAAAGGGAGTGTGAGAAAATTAAGATACAATGCATTACGGTTCAATTACATCACTTAAATGTACAATTAGTTATCAGAGAAAGAACTTGGATATATCAAAAATTGCGAACTGAATAATATCAATAATAGTGATGATAGTAGTGTTAAGATAGTGAATGAATCAGGAATAATAATAAGCGAATAAAGTGTTAATAATATTAATAATAATACAGTAAAACATCAATATGGTAGATTCAAAGTGACTACCGTGTCGAGAATCGGCGACTTGTCTTTCCCAGATTGTTGAAGCACCCACTTGGTGATGTTAAAGAACATGAGTTTTGCAGCATAATACTTGATTGATAGCTTTATCTAGTCTTCGTTTGACTACTTCTTGTACATCATTTCCTTTGAATGGCAAATTGATATATACAGCTTTCTTTGAAACTGTTTGGATAGTTTTACTGGGCTTCTTTCTTAGTGTATTTGTTGATGAACTTCTGAGGATATCCATTCTTACACCAAATATCCTTCAGAGTCTGTATTTCAGTCCCTTTCACTAGGGAAACATCTAGGAATTTAATGGTATCATGTTCCTCGTCATAGGATCAAAATGTAATGTCTTATTCCATATTAAATATATTTGTTTTATGGAGCACGCAATCATGCAGTATTATTTATTGGATGAGGCATTTGAGACAATTCAGTAAATTATGCTGTCAGTATATGCTTATCAAATCGAGATATATGTTATGGGATCAAATTCTGTCACACTGTCTAGGCTCTTCTCTTACATTGAGAAGTATCATGGTAAGAAATATGTTTATCCATCGAGCTCAATAAAATTTGAGCAATTGATGCATCCGAACAGTTTATGTAATGGGTTTTTTCTGGAAAGGTGGATTCATTTCTCTTCATCTAGTGATTGTGTCTAATCCAACAGGATACAGTCTATATTTTATAACAAGTAAATTATATGTGTAAGCCATTGCAGAAAATGCTTTAAGCAAAGTTGTTGCTTCAGGACAAGAATTAGACACGTAGTCACGAGGACCTTTTGTAATACTTAATTGTATTTAGACTATTTCCAATTTATTTATGTGATTATTTTGCTTTTAGTGATTGCTATGGGGAGTGTGGATGATGTTCGTCTAGTGTTAGACTACTACAGAGAGTTCGATGATCCTTTGGCTTTTTTCCGTGAAAAACATGAAGAACTCATGGTAAGCGAGTGTTGAAAGTATATTTATTCATTTGAAATAATTATTTCCGGAGTAGATGATAATTTACACCTGAATAGTAACTAAAAAAATTATTTTTTCCTACTGCAGTTTAAAAAAATTACGCACTTGTAAGAAAACGGCATCTAAATTCCTAATCTTCATGTTGCTGCAACTGAAAATGAGTGAAATGGTAACTCATCGATTTTAATTCACGCTTATACATAGTTATTTGTGAAAATTACTTATGACATTCATGTGATGAAGTAATTGTAGTACTTGAGAATGAATATTATAACTAGTGACCGAGTGGTTGGATCTCGAGTAATTCAAACCACAGATCAGGAGATAAGTATTTCGTAGTATGCGTGTAATTATTATGAAATTTATAAAGAATTATGTCTTAGTCAGTGGAAACGACATCAATGGGACAAATGCACTTAGATGATATGGCATTAATAATATAAGAGGTGTTCTATGAGAGTGGTAATGTTTCACATTCTCAGTTTTATTGTGTAGATAATACTTTTTATAAATCCACATCGTCATTTTGTATGAAAAATGTAAGACTTGATTTCTGGTTGTAATTTTGTGTGTTAAGTGAAATCTGGAGACTAGTGTATTTTCAGCCTTTTGAATTTAACATCGTCTAACTATTAGGTATCCATTTTAAACTTCAGCATAAGTGTGTTCAATACTTTAACTGTATTTTGTCTTCTTGATTACTGGTTGTTGATTGGTCCATTGATCTGGTATTAATCATCATTGCCTTGCTTCTGTTTGGGGGTGTTCGGGCAGTATGCCAGCCCTCGCACAAACAGTGAGATTTTATATGGCACATCTCTTGATGCCTGTATTGTACCAAGTTTATGTTTTCATCAATAATAGTCATGTATTCTGGGTGGTCAGTTCAAACCTGTTAATCGTCTGAATACCTTGTCTACAGGGTTTTATGTCATTAGATATGTTATGCCTTGTTAATTAATTTATTTAACTAAGATAATGTCTAGTGTGTAATGCTTTCTCTGGTATCTTTTTTTTATTTAGGAAATTCAAGCTAAACGTAAACATGAAGCAGAAAAAGCTTTGTCGAAACGTCCTCGGCCGACATTTTCATTCACTGGAATGGCTAGGTCTTGATGTGCTATCGTGATTGTTGGTATGTTCTCCTTACTCCACGAACCGCAGTAATGATTGCAAAATATTGTACAGCATCTTACCTACAAGCTTCCTTTGGAAACTACCTGTTTTATATGAATAATAAGTGTAATGCCGCAAATTTTATTCTTTATATATTATCTTCCTCAGACTAGTGGGCGATTGCGGTAATTCAGCGATTTATCCGACCGTGACAATAGCTTTTGTCATCTTCAGTTATGCATTTATTCTATGCTTAAGCGAGGCTCAGTAACAGTAAAACTATTTGAATATATATTATATTTGTAATTATTTTCTTTAACGTGAAAGTGGCGATCGACACATTTACTCGTAAATGACATTATAGAAATTGGCATAACAATGTTGCGTAAAACTACACAAAGTTAGCGTAGGATCTTGCACAAAAGTGCAGCAGTGCAGTTCAAACAGTTTCCACACTTCATAAAGCATACACAAATGCAGAGAAAAGAGGGGGCAATGAAACTACAATAAACAAAAGTCTACTAGAGAAAGCATAGCTACATGGAAATTACTGAGAATTTTGATAGACCTAGACGATCACGAAGAGTGCATGCATTTGCTTCATTGAGTGCGACTTTTATTTATTTACTATTTTGCAGTAAGTTATTGCATACCTAACAATTTTCTCATCACTTAAAATGCATGTCAGATAAGGTATCGTTGAGTTTTTGTTCAGTTAATCGAAGGAAATGTAAATATGAGGAAAATAAGGATATATTATGGATAAGCTTCGGAAGTCTAAGTTCACATAGTATAGTGGCATATATACGCTATTCTTATCTGTTTAAAAAGCTGTCATTCAGTCTACCAGAAAAAAAGTCAGCATTTAAAATTTCCACTACAATTGTTCAGTCGGTTTGTTGGCGAAACACTAGTCAACACAAAGTGCACTTTCTCTTGTTCGGTTTAATTACAACAGCAAGAAATCAGGCTATTGAATCTTCAAATGTTTTGAATTCAGTCTCATAACCTGATCATAATATCTGTAACGTTAGCAGAACAGCGTCGTGTAGAATGGTTATGAGTTTTTTCAATGATTCTGCAGATATCTATTCAAGGGACAGAGTATTGGTTGAAGAAGGCCACCTTGCAAATTGATATTGGGTACAGAGATGACGTAAACCTAAGTCCCGACTGTTGTGACAAACTGTGGTTTATCTAAATTTCTACGAAGAATATCTTTCAAAGAAAGAGTTCCTTTCTAAGTATTTCAAATTGTTGAGGTCATTTTTGATCATTGTCCATCTCAAGTTAAAGATGTTGGAAAGGAAATTAGTAATTGGGTAAATTAGCCAGCTGTAGAAAGTATTATGCTAGATTTGCTTTTCACGTACAAAATATAGCCTGTGAAGTTTGTAGGTGTTAGTGAATAAACTGGCATGTATCTGATTTAATTTCAATTGCACTTTGAGTATGCAGCACATAATTTATCTAATTTGAATCTCATGAGGAATCTAGTCTACCGTTTAGATATTTCCATCTTTTATTCGTTACTGAAAATTCCACTAAGTGTTCGTTCGCAGGGATTTTGATTACTTTCGAGTTAGGTTACCCACCAGCTGTTGTTAGTTAGAAAACCACTGAAGCCCATGCAGTACTGGACGGCCGTTTCATCCTAGTTTGAGACTCTTCAGCACCCTTGAAAGCTAACGAGGATTGAACCCAGGGGCTTCAGCTGATCCGTTAACTAGAATTCCTCTAGACTATGGATTTGCAAGTGTATCAATTACTTATTGGTGCATACACATACTACTTAAGTAGTAGAATTAAAAATGTGTAATTATTAGATCAACACACCACACGTTAAAAATGTTCAGTACAAATAGCAGTTTGCATAGAATAGGGGGTAACTAGTAAAGGGTATGAATAAGACTCTGAAAAAAGGCATGTCATTCATTATGTACACACTTAAATACTTAGTTGGAAATGCAGTGACACCGAAGATTTACAGCCCGACTAACTTATTTCAACATAGGAGTTTTCACAAAAGTAAAGCAGTTTGATCTGCCACACTCCATGTAGCACACGAAGTAAGATAAGTATGAAAATAGAGTTTCAAAATAACGATAATAAGCAGAAATAAAAAAGAGCGAGGACAGCAATATAGAAAGATAATAGGGTTTTTGGGAAATCTCAAAGATTGATTACTGAACAAAGAAAATTCCTTTCGATAACTTCGCCATCAGGTTTTACAGTTATATATCCATAATAATGAAAGATTGATTGTTATTGACAACATTAGTCGTTTTTAAAGACTAGCATAGGATCATTTAGATCAGAATTCCAAAAGTTATTTGCAATTAGATTGTTAATAGATTATAGTCCAAAATATACGTATGTGGTAATATGTGACTGTCTGGTTTCAACGTAGAATTTTGCACCGTTGTGCAGCAGTTCAAGTGAACAATATTCCATCTAGCACACAAAACCAGAGAAGAAGATGAAAGTAAAAAAACGCAAAACAGAGACAATAAACAGAGATAGGCAAAAAGAATAGTAATATCGAAGAAAAACATAGTTTCATTGTGACTTATAAGTCAATCCCTGAGTCGCTGAAGTGAGTTAGAGTTAATTCCATTAGTACATCTATGATGAAATTGAATAGAAATAAGTATAGTGGGCATCCCTGACGGACACCACTAGTTGTCACCACTTCAGATGACAACTCGCCGTAAGCTCTCACCTGGCTGACTGCATGAGTTCGAGTAGAGTGAGTGTCTTGATCAGTGCGATGTATTTCCTCCGCATTCCTTTCACAGCCAAGCATCGCCAGAGTACCTCTCGGTCGACAGAATCGAATGCCGCCTTTAGGTCAAGAAATATAAAGATTGATGGACGCCGGTAAGTATGCCTATGTTCCAGAATCTGTCGAAGGGTGAAGATATGATCAATACACCCTCTTCCTGGTCTAAAGCCTGCCTGGTTCTCTCGTGTTTGTTCCTCCTGTGGACCGCTTAGTCTACGCATTATTATTGAGCCTAGAACTTTAGATACCACATTAGTCAAGCTAATCCCTCTGTGATTATCACAGGAAGACTTGTCTCCCTTCTTGTATATCGGGATAATCAATGACTTACACCAACCGGACGGGACTTCCTCTGATTCCCAGACACTGCCTAGTACCTCAGTTAACGGAGACAGTAAACTGTCTCCACCGTCCTTAAACACCTCTGGAGTCATTCGATCTGGTCCCGCAGCTTTGCCTCGTTTCAGACTAGTGACAGCCTTAGTAACCCCAGTTGGGGACGGAGGACCGGTGTTTATATCCCACTTAGGAAGGTGTTGGATGCTGTGTAAGTTGAGCGTGGCTGTAAGTCAATAGAATTGCTCCTGAAAGTGTTCTTTCCAACGTTCCAGTTGTCTATCCTGGGAGCTAATTATGGTGCCATTTTTCTCAGAGATTGTTCCACTTATCGTTTGCCTTTTACCACCTGTTTCCCTGATAAGTCTGAAAAGTTGTCTGGTGTTACCTTTCGCCGTTGCCTTTTCCATCTCTTTCGCTTTTGTCGCCCACCACTGTTCATGGTTGTTACGAACGCCTCTTGTTGGTTTGTGCTTGAGCAGCTTTCACTCCTCATCATATTCGGTGCTCGCCGGAATCAGTCTTCTTGCTTCAATCAGTTCGGATGAGGTGGTAGAAATACACTGGCTCTTACTAACTTTTGGTTTTAGGTTATTAACAGCTTTTACAGCTGTATCTATAGCTAACTGTATGTTGTGCCAGGCTTCCTCAGGAGGAGGAGTCCTGCTGTCGACCTCAGATACATTTTTCGCTATTTCTTCCTTCAATAGGGATTCAGAGCATCGATCTAGTTGGGGACGGAACTGCTTCGCTGCCAACAATTTCCTATGTCCGTTTAGACGTAAGAATAAACGTGCGCGAACCAGGGCGTGATCGGAGTCTACGCACGTGTTCCAGAAGGAGCGGCAGTCTTCTACTGACCCTCGCCAACGATACCCTATCGCTATGTGGTCTATCTGAGTCCAGCGTTGATTTGGTGATGGAGGTCGCCAGATTACGCAGTGTCTTTCTTTGTGCCTAAAGTTAGTGCTGACTAGGAACAGATGATTATCTGAACAGAACTGTAGAAGACGATCACCGTGTCGGTGCGTCGGCATGGAATTCCATACGTACCTCCTATATACTTCTCGGCCTGGTATAAATTCCCTACTCGACCATTGAAGTCGCCTGCTAAAACAACTATATCTGAACATTTTGCTTTTTGCAGCAAATTAGACAGTTCCAGGTAGAAATCATCCTTTAGTTCATCCGAACTGCAGTCTGTTGGGGCGTAAGCGGAGACTATGAAAAGACAACGTCGGGTAACACCGTTTTTCCTTCTTCTGACGGACCTGTTCAGACGGACAGCAAACCTACGACTATCTACTGGGATCGAGTCAAGAAGTGATTTTTCTGCCCTGTCACTCAATGCTATCCCTACATCTGCGAGTCCTCGCGAACTAGCTGAGGGCTCTCGTGACACGCTTAGGGTGAATTTTGCTGATTCACTTTGTTGGCCTGATGAGGTTAAGTGGATGACTACACTCGGGTCTTGTATGCGTGTTCCGAAACACAAATACATCCATGGCTCGAGGTGCCAGAGTTCTTGCTAGTGATGTCTGTTGTCCGATTTAGCAGAGGGTCCTGACGTTGAATGCTCCTATATGAATTTGGCGACGTGGCTTTAAGAGGCTGTCGAGGGGGTGTTTCTATGTCTCTCAACGTTGTTTGTGGTCACAGAGTGAAGTGAAGATGACTTACTAGCCTGAAGAATAGTACTGACTGTAGTAGGGGAGTAAGATGATGAAGGTGATGTGGGTAAAGGAGAATGATGCTCGGGGAGGCTTCGTGTGCTTTTGGAAGTGTGTGAACGGTTGTTAATTCCCGGCTACCCACATCGTGGAAGATGACTGATTCTTTGGGTACCTGAAACAGAAAGAGGGTTAGTGTTGCGTGACCGCAGAGCCCAGGGGACAACTGCTTGATGGTGGCCGGTCACACACAGCCTGTATGAGCTGGTTTCTTGGTTTGGTTCCGTATTAGTAAACTTACCGCCGGTTACGGACCACCGTAGGGTTAGTTGGGATGTACAATTGTTGGGGTCGACCTTTTCTAACCCCCTCTTTCCAGAGTGGAGAGACAGCATAGGTGGCATGCTGGTAATCTGTGGGAAACACCTTACTACTGTTACATCTCTGTTCCCCAGCAGTACGACTTTGCCCACAGACCCCCAGCATAGTGTAAGAGAATTGTTACACTA